TAACTAATCAAATATTCAAATTCCATAACATAAATATAAAGCAAAAATAATTTTTCATGTGAAATTCCATAACAGAAACTATTTGATTTATAAATTAATTTTTCATGTTTAGTTAAAAAGATAAAATAAAATAAATTTTGGATCTGAAAAAAAGTGTCAGAGAATGTTGATCGCGTGTCAAAAATATATGTCAGAGCATTGACCGCGTATCCCAAAAAATTGACCATATGTTGGTGTTCAACCCATATCTGACATATTTTTCATTTCAAATAACGTGTTTGTGCTTTCCAGATCCAGTTACTCTGATAAATCATTTGATGCAGTACTGATTAAAGTATACGTATACTAATTAGAAAGCATATATAGTTTTCTAGGAAACGAAAAGGTATATAACTTGCTTTTAGGTATGATTTTTCAGTGCTTGAGCTTTCTCTAAAATAACCTTTCTTCGTATCTTGTGCAATCTGATTTCAGAAGTTGTTAAGTAGTCTTTATTTATTTATTCATTTTATAGGAGGTTGATGAAGTGGATGTGGTGTAAAATAAGAGCTATGCGGGAGACAAAGTCTTTTAGTGGAAATTTTGTCATGTCTGAGAGTAGCTGAGTGCCTAAACTAATGATTAGTTTGGTAAATGGTGATTGGAAAACCTATAATTTGAATCTTGTTGTGGGCTACTTTATGATTCTTAAACAATAATATAATTGTGTATAATTTGAAAAGGGCTTTTAGATTGTTAGGCAGAGAAGGTTTCTTTTGATTTTGTCTAAAAAGTCTAAAATAATTTTGCTAAGGTTAAAGAAAGATGTTTGAGATTATTGTGGTTGATATTTAATGTAGTTGTTAGCCGCTTGAATGTTTGCACCTATGATGACTTTTATTTGCGGGTTGATGATATTCCTATTCAACAACATTGGTATAAATTATTAAAATCATATATGAATACGAGCAATTATATATTAATGTGCACGAATGCCTTTGTAAACTGATATGTTGACTTATTGCTATGATGATAGCTAAACTAGCAAGAAACATGAGGGGGAGAAGCCATTCTGCATAGTAGTTTGGTTAAGTTCCATTAATATCTTAATGTAGTTCATAACCTATAGTATTTGTTTGTTCCTTCATTTATGGTAGGTAGGTTAGGCAAGACTATTGGCCTAATATCCTGTTATGTCATAGTTACTTTTGGACACAAATTCAATGTATTCTTTTTACCTCAATTCAAACGCACTGATTATAATGACAAATCAGTGACAAAAGCCATTTGATAAAGTTGTTGTGAGGGGCCGGAACTCTTTAGGAGTTATGGTACATTGTCTTTGGCTGCATACACACAATGCCGTATATTTTTATCATCAGGACATTTCCCATTCCAATAAACAATAATATTATGTACTTCCAAAGAGAGTTTTAGAGAAGAGAAACAATTGTGAACGAAGATAATATATTGTCTGTATTAATTATAAATGAATCTTGGTTAAAAGATTTTGATAAATGTCTATTCTAGATGAACGAAATAAGTTTGCATTGTTCCTTATGTCTAACGGTTGGTTATGTCCAACAAATATATTAAGTTAAGAATTCTATTCCTCATGATTGAAATTAAAGTGGAGAATGTTAAAGTGGAGAGTGTACCTTAGAAGTTAAAGTGTGAAATTATAAGGAATGATTGAAATTGTGCAACACACAACACGTATATATAAATCAAATTATAAAAGTTGTTGAAATTTATTTCTTTAATTTTCAAATCAACAATGTGCACTTGTTATTTAAAACATACTTCATTTTAAAGGAGGCAAATCATATGGGTTAATTAATTGTAGTTTTTCAATATGAAAATTTAATTAATGCATAATTATGCATGAGTAAATCAGCAATTTTCAAGAACAGTAATTATTTAAATATGGCATATAATAATGTTTACAAACATTTTTATAGTTTACAACACATTAATTTTGAATTGTCTCAACCAGGTGATGGGTCATTGGATGTCACAGAAATATAATATAAAAATCATTAAAAGCATATTATTTACTGCTTAAATTTTTGGATTGAATTAATTTTTTACAGAAATTGAATTAATCATAACACTTGGTTACGTATATATCCTTTCCAGAGATTTTTTTTAAGAGTAGTATCATACCTAATTTTATTTATTTTTTTATTTTTGGTGAAAAGTATCATTCCTAAATTTATTATGTAAGGAAACTAGTTTGAAATTATTACTAGATCTTATGTTATAAAACAAAACACTTCAACAAATTGAAGTGGAAAGCTTTTGCATTTTCCAAAATGAAATTGAATGCAGTTCTTCCTACGATTTTTCATGCAAATATATAATCCCTCTTTTTGGACAAGCATTGTATTGCCACGCTGCCATGATTGCGACCTTCCATGATTTCCATTATTATAAGCAGTCACTGATCGAATGAAAAGAAAGATTCTCCACGGACAGCAACCTTTCGCCTTTAAATAGTCTATGAATATATATTGACTTGTAAAAAGAGTGATTCTGCAATGATATAGAGACTCGTTTTGTGTGCTGTAATTTTTATTTTTTCTTCAAAAGATGTGAGCTCCACAAAATGTCGTGTGTGTAAGAAAATTTGTTGTGTCATATCAAGTGACAAATGCAAATCCCATATATATTTTGTGCGGAAAAAAAATGTTCATAGAAGAAAAATACGATACTCTCTACATGATGACAACCTACTATGTGGATTTATCTTTCATTGTTCAATTAGGTTTTTAAGTGATCAATTTATTTGCATATTTACTAATTTACCTTTCCAACTTGATTAAAGATAAGTCATTCACAATAAAGTTTTTAAAAAAAACAATTGTGTTCCGTTCATATATATTAAGTAAAAAAATTAAAAAAAATTGATATAATATTTAACTTGTGAAATTCTCTTACTTAATAAATTAGTCTTCTAAATCAACTTTTTTATTTTTTAAACGAACCTTTAGTTTGGTCTTTCAAGATATTTTGAAACATCAATTTAGTATACTAAAAACAAGCAACATTAAATTGACTCCCCAAAATATTTTTTCGAATTATTTTGATATAAGAGGAGATATGATATTGTTACTACCAATTAATGTTACTATCAATGTTATTATCACTTTATTTCATCGTTAAATCGATTATGTTGATTCCACAATTATGATTTAACTTTCTAAGAATTTTTTTTCTTCCTATATTTAATACTTTATATTTATTTTCGTTATGATTCCCCATATTTAATGCTTTCACATTAAATATAGAGAATCATAATGATACAAATGTGAAAATAAATACAACCGTTGAATCAACATAATTAATCTAACGATAAAATAAAGTGATAGTAACACTGATAATAATACTAACTAATAGTAATAATGTCGTATGTCTAAAAAATGTTCAAGAACTAAATCTTATGTTATAATAAGACGAGGAAGGTTTGAATACCAAAAGAAATAGAAAAAGGTTATATTTATAACCTCTTTTCCCTTACAATTTCTTACAATCAAATTTTAATTGTTGATTTCTGCAAATCTGACGGTTATAATTCATTAAAAATTAATAATTAATTAATAAATATGACCCAATGAATTATAATAATGAGATTGACGAAAATCAGATTGACTAAAATCAAAAGAAATTCTAAATATAACCTCTTTATAATAAGATAAACATAAAGTTTTAATTAGTAAAATTAATATAAAAATAATATAATAAAAAAAAATTAAAAAAGGTATATTTTATGAGAATGTAGAGAGAGAGAGAGGAAGAGAAACAGAATAGAAAGGAGAGGATAAAGACTTTGACAACAACGTAGGATCCGAAGACAACGGAGGCTGTGTTGGGTTGGGTGGGTACAGTTGTGAAAATCTCTCTCTCTTTCTCTCGTTGTGTTGTCTTCTTCATTCATTTTGAGTTCTGATCTCATTATACATAATACATAAACAGGGGAACAAACAGAGGAGAAGAGAGAAGAAAAGAGGAATCCTAGTTCCTTTTCTTGGAACGACGGTTCCTCCTTTGTGCTGCAACTTCCCCTTCTTTCTGCATGCCCTCCCTCAGGTCCTTCTTCTCTCTCTCTATCTCTCTCTCTCTTGTTTCATGGTTTTTTTGTATTTTTCATAGATGAACATTGAGCAATGAGAATGACCCTTTTTCTATATTCTTCAATGCTTTTTTTGTTTTGTTTCGTACGTGCATGTGATTTATAAGACCGCACGCATGCATGCCTTCATTGTTCAATGTTTCTCATCATGTTCTCTAATGTCTGCTTTTATTAATTTTCATGTGACTTGCTCAATAGTGCTTGTTTTGTTTTATGTTAGTTACCCGTTAAACATTGCAGCACGTGTTGTAGGTTTGTGTTCATGTGAAATCAATCATGGCCAACGCTAGATTATCTAGAAGAGGATTATTGATTTTCTTTCTTTCAATTTGTTTTTTTTTTTTTTATCATTATTAATGATTAAAGTTCGGTCTAATTGTTACGGTTTTCTCTACCCCTCGAGCATTTATTGATGGATGAATATGTGTATTTTTTATTAGAGCTTTCTTCAGATTTTCTTCAAAGGTGGTAGTGCAGGCACAGCTATGTGATGGCCTCAATGTCATAGTTCATCGCAGGTGTATATCATTGTCTATTGGTTAAGGACGGAGAACTCTATATTGTTAATTTTTTGAGTTCAAGGTATGTCCTGCTGCTCAATTTTTATGTGTTTTATTCCATATTCTTATGCTTTATCTATATCTACAACTACAAGCAGTTAGTGGTTTATAATTATTCTTCTGCATGCATTCCCTTTCTTGATCTAAATTTGATTGTTTTGTGTGGTTGCAAGATTCTTTCTTCTCAGGGGGGTTTAATTATATAGACAAAGTGCCTGGTGTTTTATAGTGAGATAATCACAATGTTGGCTGGATTAGTAAAAAAAATAGCTTCCACCACAATGGGTAGCTGTGCCTCAAACCCAAATGGGAAGGGCACTGGTAAGAAAAGAAGACATCACAAATCTGGGAAACGGCGAGGAAATATTCCCACTGGAATTCCTGAAATGCCTTTGAAAAGGGTTAGCAATGCTGGAAACCGTGTTGGAGAGTTCTGTCTCAGTGACTTTGTTCAGATGGACTTTGAGAAGGGTGCCCGGAGATCAGAGGTTTCAAACATGAAGTTTCATCTTACCCAGCTCCAATACCATAGTCAAATTGATGCAAATGGTATCTAATTTTCTCTCCCCCTCCTTGCTGGAATGCAAAAGTTTTAGGAGATTTATCTTAATGGTTGTCTAAGAGTGTTATCATGCATTCATTTTGGTCCTTTGGTTATTTATTTATTTATTTAAGCCTGCAACAGTGATAAAACTGCTTCTTTGTGACTCTGGTTTGAATCTAGAAAACAACATTTTTGCAAATATGAAGGGTAGGATTACTTATAAGGATTGTCTTTACCCCTACGCTCACTAGTAGTAGTCGGAGTTTAATGAGAAGTGATTTTTAGTTGTCCTGGATGATGGTTCTTATGGCATTGAATTTGTTGGATTTTCCTGGAGTTGACATAGCTAACTTCCTTTGATGAACATGCTGAGCACTTACATACATTTTGCAGGAAAATACCAAGAGGAAGCATGGTTTGACTCAGTTAGCATTCTAGAATCTGATTCAGATGATGACTTCAGTAGTGTGCATGGAGGTGATGCATTTTTGTCTTGTAGTTTCTAGTGACTATTTCAGAATTGGTATGGAATTTATCTGTTCCTTTTTTTATGGTTGACAGATTGTTTTCCCTTTGCGGGCAATGCTTTGGGGAGTGTGCCAAATAGTCAGTTACTCCAGTACGAAAGTGCATCCTGCTTTGTAGATTCAGCGTGTAAATATGAGGAGTTTTATGAGAGCTACCTAAAAATAGATGGAGGGAACTGTAAGAATGGAGAGAAAACTCAAGAAAACAGCGCAAAGCAATCAACAGTTATCATGCTTTCTGTAAAAAGGACATCCGTTGATGCAAATGACAAGACTGAATTATGTAAGTACATAAATCTGTAAGATTTTCCTTTGTTTTCTGTTCAATGTTTTGGACTTTTGTTGGAAACTGGAATAATTCTTTATATAGATTTTATCTTTTAAAATTCCTCAATGTGAAACAATTTTAAAGATTTGGAAGGCTTTCCTTTTCCAACAATGAGAACGTAATCTGTACTTAATATATCAATCAATAATCTTTTGTGTTGCGTTATATGTTACATCTTTATTGTGAGTTAGTTTTTTCATGTTATTTGAACTTGTCAAAGCTACGATACTAAAGAGTGGATGGACAGGTGCAACTGAGAGGTTTCTTTATCGTCCCAGAGCAGGGCTTCAAATTCCAAGTTCAACACAAGAAAATCCATGCCCTGGTTCCTGGTCTGCAGTTTCACCTTCAGTGTTCAAGCTCCGAGCTGAAAGTTTTTTCAGGCATGTCAGAAATTTGTATCTTTCAATCTTTTTTTCATTTTATGCAATTCTTTATTCATTTGTCCATTGATTTTATTCTTGTTTCTTCTGCAAGATTGATATTATATATGATAATAATTTATGCAGAGATAAGCAGAAGAGTCCTGCTGTAGACTACTGCCCTTATGTACCAATAGGTGTTGATTTATTTGTCTGTCCACGGAAGATAAATCACATTGCTAAGTATCTTGAACTTCCATTTGTCAAAGAACATGAGACAGTACCTTCCCTCCTCATTGTTAATATACAGGTTTTCTCTCCATCTTAAACTATATATTTTCTCCTTTTATAGTCACAACTTATGCATTTCACTTTTGATGAGGTCTATTGCTCTTGTTCTCTACTTGAACAAGTTAAAGAATGCTTACATAATTTGGTTATGTTGCTTTTGCCCCAGTTGCCAACATATCCTGCTAGTGTGTTCCTTGGTGATGCCAATGGGGAAGGTTTGAGCCTTGTACTATATTTTAAACTGTCGGAAAATTTTGACACAGAGACCTCACCACTTTTTCAGGAGAAGATCAAGGTATTTCCTCTCATCAATATTTACTTGATTAAACTTTCAAACCTGTAAGTTTACAATGATGTTACCCTAAAAGGAAGTAAATAAATCCTTTAATTGCTGCCACATTTCTTCTTATGTTTCCTAAAGGCAAATATAATTTCAATATCTAATTGAATTATCCTTACATAAATTATGAGTAATGGGGGGCATTCCATATTTTATAAGGGTTAATCCTGTTAAGTAGAATAATCTCTTTTGGTGTATTTCCCCATGAGGTGTTCCTCTGTGCATAGATATTTGATTTTGTTTCCAATAATTGATTGTCCTCGTGTATTATCTAGCCACAAATGCGTTAGAAATTCTTGGGTGTACTTTTGAAGTAGGTTCTTAATAGGACACACTCATTAACTTCCTAATGTTGCCTTCTTGAAGTTGTAGCATGATTCTCGATTTCTACTATTCCAACTTGGGAAAAAAAATCCCATTTGATATTTGATCTTGATGCAGTGTCCTAGATTGTACTTGAGTATATTTTTCAGTTAAATAACAGTTTGGATTTAACAGAGATTATTGGATGATGAGATGGAAACGGTGAAAGGGTATACAAAGGAAAGCTTGGTTCCCTTTAGGGAAAGGCTAAAAATTTTGGCTGGGGTTGTTAATCCAGAGGATCTTCATCTGAATTCTGCCGAGAGGAGGCTTATACATGCCTACAATGGCAAGCCAGTGCTTTCACGTCCTCAACACAATTTCTTTAAGGTATATATAAATTTATGTCTTGCTAATCTCAAAATATCTGTCTACTTCTCAGTTGATGAAATCTCTGAACTATTAATCTTCAACATTAGTTGCATCAGATTTGGGCTAATCATGGTATTGACATTTTTATATACATTTTGGTTATAGTTTGAAAAGTTTTAATTTAATATAACAACACCTTAGGATCCCTCCATCTATTACTGGTTCACTTGACACCGTTAACGGTTATAAATTTTTGTAATGATATTGGAAACTCTTAAACCAGTAACACACACATGACACAAATTCCATTATGTCTTTTATGTTGAGATATATTCAAATATTATGCTCTCTGAAGTATATTAATTAAATTAACTGATTACTAGCAACTTCATTTTATTTATCTTCAATCAGGTAGGTTACAAATGGGGGTGGGGTAATATTTCAAATGAACTTTGAGGTGGCATAATCTATGTCAAGTTGTTTAACAAAAGGATTGTTCTTATACAACAAGGATCTTACATAAGTTCTATTTATCTTTAACATAGCATGGAGCTCGCTTTACCATGCAGAATGATTTTTCTGCTTCATATATTTTTACACTTTATTTATGTATTTTAATCTCAGGGACCTAACTATTTTGAGATAGACCTGGATATACATCGCTTTAGCTATATATCGAGGAAAGGACTTGATTCACTCCGAGACCGTGTAAAGCATGGAATACTTGATGTTGGCTTAACTATCCAGGTATAGTATGCTCTTGCAACTGTTAGTTTGAACATTTCTGTTATCAAGTTGATCAAGCTAACTCTCTCTCAAACAAATGATTGACTCTCATGCATCTATTGTCATTCTTTTTCCGGTTTATATAAAATGCCAAATTTCCTTGTAAATGAAAAATAAGCTTTTCTTATAGTTAGCAAGATAGGGTACTCTTTTGCCATTTTTTCTTTCTTTTTTCTCAGAATTTTACTTTGCATGTCATATTCTTAGAACTTAAGAGTAAATGAATGAATGATCACATGGAAGTCATTTTCTCAATATTCTGCAATCTGCACTCATAACACATCACTAAATATTGAATCTAGAAATACTCTACAAGAAAAATCTTTTAGCTCTTGTGCTTAGGAAGCCTTATGTTCTTCCCAGTTGATTGATTCGTGTAGTAATATGCTTCCATATTTTAATATCCCTCTTTTTTTACAGGCACAAAAGCAGGAGGAACTTCCAGAGCAAGTGTTGTGCTGCTTACGATTGAATAAAATTGATTTTGTTAACCATGGCAAAATTCCTACCATTGTGACTCTTGATGATAACTGATTCAGGCGTGCATGTTGTACAATTGGGGGAAAAAAAAAGATTGGCTGATATTTGAAAGAATTGGGTGCCAGATCTATTTAATTAACCACAAAACAATGATAATAATAACCATTTTGAAGAAATTTGAGCTTTCTCTGATATGCAAGATTGATTTTTTTTTTTTTAAAAAAAAAAAAACTTGTCATGTGATGGTGGTATTGAAGTTCTATATGTTTACTTTGCATGACAATTCTCTTTCCTCCTTCTGTTGTGTCAAATATTCTTAGATCATACAGTCATGTTTCTATCAGGACTTGCAGATAAATTTGAGGTTCCTCAAGGAAGAGATACTTATTAGAAGACACTAATTTCAGTTAATATGTGTGATTATCGAATGTGAATGTGGGAATGGATCCTCTTATATCATCTTTTAATATAACAAATCATATGGAAGATTTTAACCTTTCATTAAGATCAATGGTCATAATTTTAATATTGAGATTCGTTTTACACGAAAAATGAAATCTATAATGATCAACAAATGATTAAGGGTGAATCTTGAAGAATCGGTAAGGTTGCTTTTTGTGATCTCGGCCTGAGGTTCAAGTATGGAAAACAATTTTTTTTGCAAAAATTTAAGGATAAAATTACGTGCAATCAACGCAAATTCCACCCTCACAAATTAGGAAGTCTTGTGCACAGGATTTGCCTTTTCTTTTATTTTTATTTTTTTAATGATCAAACAGATAGTGAAGTTACTGCATAATTTTATAAATCTAAACAAAATAGATGATTTCGGTAAAGGATGACTAATATAAAGGGTGACAGTTGAAGAAGCATCATCTTGGAATGTTAAATACAAATTTGTGATCAGGATATTCTTCTAGGGAAAAACTATGTTTTTTGACTTCTTAGTTCGTACATTTACGTTCGTTTTAAGATCATATTATGAGAGCACGGGGGGTGGGGTATCCAACAGGCCCACAAGGTCTTTCCCTGAATGGTTATTAAGCCATCTTCGAGTGACCTAAAAAGATAAGAAACGGATGGATAAAGAAAATGAAAGTATATAGGGCAAATTGCGAACATGTGCCATTTATTGAATTAAAATTTGTAAAAGTAAATAAACATAAAATCTAAATGGTTCTCTTTATTCAAAGCAATAGTTATTGAATACCAAAGATACACTCAACAAGAAGCATGGTCAAAAGTAATGTGATTGTAATAGTTTGAAAAGAATTTAATGCTACGTAAAAGGCTACATACCTTCCAACTCTAAATATAAATGTAGGGTTGTTCAATATTTTAAATTTATATTGAGAAAGTTGTTACATTTTATTATAATTTTATTTATAAGTTAATGAAACATATTTTTTTAATAACTTTTTTCAGATGTAGATATATATAATAGCAGTAGCTTCTCTGTTTCAGCTAAAGAATTAACTGGATATCAAGGGAACTGCATCTAATTCACTGATATCTTTGATTCTCGTATGTACAACTTAGACTATCATAGCATCATTAGGAGTTCAAATAAGTGGATTCAAATCGGCTTGTAGTTAAGGGATTAAGGTTTGTTTAAATCACTCCTACCCCATATCTCTAGTTTCAGAAATTAAACTGACTTCTCTTTGATTTTTCACCCATAAGAGGTCGTGTTACTGACCAAGTTTGAGCTGGGGTATTTATGTTAAGGAAATGGAATGGAAACCGTATGCAAAGCAAGCCCCAACACCAAATATCAGACACACAGATACTGTAATTATGAAGTAAACACAATGCACAAACCAAAAGTATACAACAACAATAATTAAAGATAATGAGAATGCAAACCAAATTAAGGATGTTAACCTGGCCTAGTGTACACACTGTTTCCTTAAAACAGATTGTCCTCTCTTCGGTACCCAAGAATCCGAACAAATGTCTCCAAGATAGAACGAATTACGTCTATATCATAGCAGCAATTCCACTCTACAATCCCCTCGGACACAACAAAATGTCTGAGAAATCACAATAATAGGTATGGCTATGCAGAGGTTCAATGCAAAAATTAGAGCCGGATTTCGGCAACAAGAATGGAAAAAAAATTCATAAAAAAGAAAAAGATTTGTTTCCGTTGCCCTCCATTAGCTTTTATAGAAAACAAAAGGCCACAATTGAAGGATTGTATCTATTCATGATTAGAAAGTCATCATCGTTTGCAGTGAACAATCATGTTGGCAGTTTTTAGGCATGAACAGACACCAAGGAATAAAAGAAGGGCACTTTGGTCCTTTCCCTTCTTCTCCTCCAAACAGTTATTCATAATAATTTTTAACAATTTATCTATAAAAACTTAAAACATGCAAGGTCACAAGAATTCGAGTCTACTCTAATTTTTATTCTGGAATCTACCTTGATTACAAGTTTTATGACTAGGCAATGAACAAATTGGATGGATGAGGAGAGCCTATAATGAAATTCATCATAGATCCAAATCTTGGTCACATTCTTGATCAAAATATCAAAGAGCAAGGAATTACATGATGAAATGATGACCAATTAAATTAAACAACATAACTTATATTTTCAATGTACACAAAAGGCACAATTAGTATAGCATCATCCAAAACCTCTGTTCATTCCGCAAACTTTTCTTGTTTAAACATTTTCCTTTACCTTTCATGGGAACGTGGTTGTGGAGGAAGAGAATACTGTAGGAATATTTCGTTTATCAGGAACTGGAATGATAGGCCTTGATCAAAACTTTGGCCTAAGACTGAAAAAGAATGCATTGAACATCAAAATAAAGATGACTTGTGAGCAGAGACACATTTTTCCTTAAAGGTGGCAAGTTCTCATATTACCAGTTCTTCCAGCCTTAAACAAGGTACCTAAGTTATCTGCTCTTCCTTCAGCCGTAGATGTGCAACAGGCGGTTGCTCATTGCCCCCAATACCTCTGCTGCCTAAACTATGCTTCTCAGGTATGGTATTTTGTGATCTTAACTGAGATGCACTATTGTTGGCAATGGTGTGGCTGTTAGTCTTAGCTGCTGGCACATCATGATTGTGTTTTCCTTCATATGTTGTTATAACAGCTTTAGGATCTGTTGAGGCTCTCTCAACATGCTTCCGGACATTACAACCTGGGGTTGTACATTTGTAATAGCTCCTAAACGTGGTATAAGCAAGCATCAGTATTTTTTTCCAGGACAACACAAGGTTTAATGAGGCAAGATATTGGAGAAAGATATGGATCTCATATCAGTTCACTATGCTGTAGAGCATATTATATAAAGTAGTATAATCCAAGTGATGACTATGAATAATTGAGCATTTTTTTTGGGGTACCAAAATTTTAACAAGTTAAGGACAATCAACAGTCATGAATATTTCAATAGATACAATCAAAGTGTAGAGGAAAAGCAATAACACCTAGGATAAGGGTTGCCTTTGACAACTTTCTGCCCATATTTTCGCCATCTATACCCATCATCTAAGAGATCAACTTCACTTGTTGTTTGCACAATGATTCTAGGCTCTGTGACAGTCCTATGTGAAGAAGCTGGATCTGAGGATGTCGCTTCTGTAATTCTGCAGGATTATAACACTTCTAAGATAACATAAAAACACATGATTATCCAGCATGAACAGATCTAAATAAAATAAAAACTTACCTCCTCTTGGGGTCAGGCTCAACATTTTTCTCATCCACTTCAGTTTCATGGTCACCTACTTCCTCACTGTCACTTGTTCCTGATAGATGTTCAGCTGTTGCCTGACTAGATTCTGGATCAGTCTTAGACATTGAGTGTGTAGTTATTCCTTGACAAGTTGAATCAACATTCCCTTGCATACTTGAATTTTCATTTGAAGTTACGGTGTCTTTTGAGCGCTTGTTAGGATGAGGAGGTTGATGATTGTGCTCTCCTTTATAAATAATTGCAGTTACATGACCGTCAAGTGAGCGCTCAACTTTTTTCTTGACAGGACAGTTTGGATGCGTGCACTTATAATAACTTCGAGGAAACTCACTACCCTTCACCTGTTTCTGCCCATACTTCCTCCAGTTGTAGCCATCATCAGCAGGCTTATCAACATTCAGTAAAGAAGACTGCAATCTTTGTTCAGGGTGAGAATAATCACTGGATTTTGTCATTGCTGCCCGAGAGTCTCCCATTGAGGATGGCATAAGCAGTTGTGTAGTATTGGAAGTCGCTGCAACAACCTGTGTCAACAAGGTAGCAGGAGATGCTGATACAGACAATGAATGTTCAGCTTGGATATGCATATTTGAGTTGGCCTGTGCAGCCTGAGCTGAGACTTGTGCTAGTGCCTGCTGGTGTGTCATTCCAAAGGACCCCTACATGCCCCACAAGTGTTGTCAGGAGAACAAGAAGGCAGTATAATCACTTTAAAAAAAATCATATGCGACAGTGTTACCCTGACAATAGTGGCTGTGTTTTGCTGCACCATTCAATATCATGCATATTAATACAACACCATTGTGTATTATGGGAAGAGTATATGGGATCTCTTGCCCTACAGCCTGTTGAGTCAGCAAGGGCGAATAATTTCCTTTATGTTAGAGAGGGGAAATCAGTTAGGATTTGGTTAGGATTAGAAGGGAATGTGGGAAGCACCACTCTTGCTGCATAAATAGGTGAACCATCAATTGGCAGAGGCATCTTTTGGGATTGGGACATTGATCAGGCTTGGGAGAGACCATTAGCCTCTCTAATTGCTCTAGATTACCTGTTTTTCTGTCATATCATTTTCTAGCTTTACTATAATTTTACTTTCCTTTGAGACATTATGTACTTAAACCATTGGGTCTGATTTGGATTCAACCTTATCAATACCATTTCAGTTCTTTCTTTTCTGTTCTAGGATTCTGGTACCTATCACGTATGGTAAAAAAGTTTTCAATATCACATAGATAGCTCATATAATCTAACAAGTAGCTTCTCATTTTTTGTTATGTTCTCATCCTTAACCTCACCAGAACAAAGGTATCACATATTTACATATATATATATATAGGGTTTTATTAATCTCATGTTAAAGGAGATAAGTTATCACATGTCATAGAGACAAACTTGTGGGCTCCACCACCTAAAAAAGAAAAAGGTGACACAATTATCGAAGGGTGTGTAGGAGAAAAAACTTATCTCATGTAGCATGAGAATAGTTTTTCCCATATATATCCCTTTTTTGGGAACAATTTATATATGCTTATTCAGTATAATATTTTTACCAATATACCCTTATTAAGTATTATCTTGTTAACTTTATAGAAGTTGTTTTTTGTATTTGAATTTTGTTTAAAAAGTATGTGTTAGATGCATTTTAGGAGTACACTTGAATAACCATTATTAGTTGTTTGCATCAACCCTAATTAATATCTTCTATTTATTGTTTGATCCTTTTCTTTATTGTAATTGTTTCAACAGCTTAGTTGGATATCAACACTTGTTATTTAGAGATAGCTGTGTGGCTTCCAACCAATTAGGTATTAGACCCGGATGATTGATCATGAAATTTTTTCTATCTTTAGTATCAATTCAAGGATCAGCGTTACTTTTGCTCTCAGATATTAGAATCTTGACTTGATGCATCTTCCCTTCTTATTGTAGGCTTCATCTCTACCAAGCAATCATATCGCACTTACCATAAAGCTCACTTGTTAGGACTTGCCTAAATCCTCAATTAGGAGTAACTAGAAATTTTATGTAACAGAAAAGTCCAAGGGCCCGAACAGAACTTAGCTGACACTCTCGGAAAGATTTGTGATATTAGAAACAGTATCAGAGTGGACCTAAGCCTAAGCTTGTGGTGAGGAGATCAGTTTAGAGCTCCTATTGAATGATTCGATGTGGAACTGAGTATAATCCCTTAAAAAAAATGTATGCATAGTTACACATATTGAATATCATTTCTATCATGAACCAACTATTTCAAAAGCTTAAGCTATTGGGTGAAAATGCAGGAAATGGTTTTTATATCTAATACACCCGCTCAACAAGCGCTCATTAGACTTAAAGCATGAACAATGTACATGTCCGCCCTACCTTGTGCTGAAATTTGTTTAGAAGAATCAGGGCATCAAGGTAGCAACTGCAATGAAGGCAGACTGGAATTTTTTCACAAAAATAGAGTCTCCTAGATCAAGAACTCTAATATCAAGATGAAATCTAAAATACTGAATATTATTACTTTTTATTATTCATGTACAGAGGGTTACAAATTACAATATATAGACTAATGTGAGTAATTACTTTCCTAATATAGAGGTGATTCTAAGGAAACAAATAAAAAAACTGAGTTTTCCCTATAAAAGGAAAAAAAAAGTATAATAATTACATAATTATTCCTTGTATATTTACAACAGTTTGTCTTTTATATTTGGGTATTCATCAGATGATACAAATATAAGTATGATTCAGCCCTATATGTAGTAAATTCATTTACCAATGATAAGTTTTAAATTAAATATAAAGTGATTCAATCTTCAAATAAGTTGGCAGAAGCCAATTTCAAATGTACATGAGGTCTCTTCATTAAGACACCAAAATGAAAATTGAGAGCAGCTATTTTCTTTCAATTTATTCTTTAAATTATACGTTAAAATTTAGAAAAGTCAAATCCTATTAAAGACAGAACCAATTATCTTGTAGTACTACTCATTGTTTAGAATGAGCAATTGGGAATGCCGATAGTCTCACCCATTTCAGAAGCCTGCCAATTTCAACATAAAAGTTACTGGTTTAGGCCAAGGCTGACTGACCATTTTATCCCTCTTTTAAAATCAATTTATCACTTTGTCCCTTTTCCTAAACTATATACTATGTACTAATCTACCCTTCTTCTTAAATTATATACCAATATGCCCCTATATGATTAATGTTTGACTTATATACTCGAGAAATTGTGGATAAAACATTGGTCAAACAGGTGCAAATTGGTATATAATTTGAGAAGAGGGGCAAATTGTTATATAATTTATAAAGAGGGTTAAAGTAATAATTTTTATTAAAATAGGGGCAAGATGGTCAATCAGCCAACAATAAATATGTCAAAGTTGAATATGTTGAGGGAGTCGATATGCTATGAAATGGAGACCATGATGACACCATAGGTTGTCTATTTAAAGAATCTTAGAGAAGAGGAAATATCCACTATTTCATTTTGATTTTGTTTTATTTTGGTACTAGAAGTAACAATGTCAAGAATGATATACACTTGTGTTGGAGTTTCCAACTTAGTATTGATCTCTAACTTGAATAAAGCTCCTCTCTGAAAGTTAGATTGGTACTTCATAATCACTTACACGAGACAACTAACAATTTTGACAAAGAACCCATTCCGGGAAAAGAAAAATACACCCTTATCTGCTTTAATTGAAACTTATTAAAATAACTCCCCATCTGAGGCTATCCATTGGTATAAGATAACAATTCACCAAGATGGACACAAAAGTCTAATTCTAGTCGTCTACTCGTCTCTCATAGACCATGTATTTAATGAATGTTTCAGCATAAGAAAAATGAAGTAAATTCATCTCTGCTTCTGGGAAGGTGTCAAACTCTATCTTTTTCAGTAGCAGACACCAGGAAATTCTGCACCTTGTGGTAACCTCCACCACCATGAAGAATCCCCAAAAGTAATCCCACACGTAAACTAAAGGAATGAAATTTGAGAAAACTGCATACACATTCAATAATCCTACACTCATTAACAGCCATACTTGAAAATCATGGAATCGACAACCTACAACAACTCTTATGACAACAACCACCTTAACATCTTCTTTACCCCTCAATTATAGTAGAATTTGAATGTGACATTAAATATTTAGACTTGTCCAATTCAGGAAAGAAAAAAAAAAGGCCTTATTAGTAACTTCAACTACCAAGTTAACAAAATATAGTCATTCTGTTTCTTCCCTATCTTTCCTCAAAATCCATTATCAATATTAAGAAATGAAAAGTTATTTTTTTTAAAGAAAAAAAAAAAAACAATTTTTCAATATTTACACATTTTCATTACTTGAAATGCAATAAAAAAAGAAGAAGCTAAAACCACCTGCATAAGTATCAGTGAGGATTTACCTGAGCAGGTGAAAAGAAGCCAGGTGAATTGTGCAAGCCCACCGGAGACGCCATGGAACCGGTGAGAAGCTGAGAGAAGGACTTAAAATCTTCACCCTCGGCAAAGAAACTAGAGACCAGAGTCATGGGACCGGGGCTGAAACCACCGTTGAAAAGGGTGTCCATGGAAGCAGTACGTGGCGGTAGAGTGATGGTGGGTCGTGGTGGTGGCCCACCATCATCCGCCGTGGCCGCCTCCTTCCAAGGTGGTCGCTCTCCATTTCCAGCACCCACCATCCAATTGGGTATGTTTCAACGCTTAAAAGTCTCTCTTTTTCACACCAGAAGAAGAAACTTTTGGTCCTCTCTATGTGATTGTCTCTTAAAGACTCAAAAAGTTTCCAACTTCTGAGTTCTATGTACATGTTTCTGTAGTGTTAGGTTTGGTGGATCTGAAAAATCAATAAGAAAAAACAAAAAAACAAAAGTCCACGCCGTAGTTACCCAACCATGGATTAATTTGTGTTCTGTGTAATTGTTTCGAACTTCTGTGCTCTGTGAACATGAATTTTATTTTTTTTTAACTATTTCATATTTATTTTTTAACTAATAAAATATGGGGCGGGATATATTTTTTTTTTTCTTTTTTGAGTTAAACCAAGTGATGTTTTTGAGGTGGATGGTCTCCTCCAATATTCTCATAAGTTTCGATTTTTTGAACCAGTTATAAGACCAATATGAGGTGAGTCAGTACAGAGTTGGCTTCTCAGGTATTCCCACAAACTAACTCTTATATCCCCACAAATTGACTTTTGGCCATGTGATATCCCTACGAACTTTGAAGAGGTTATGAAATTAATATAGAGTGTGCTGGATGTGAGAATCGAACCAATATCTTTTTCTTTTCACATACTCAGTTCTATTGCTACTAACTGAGCTATCACTATTTGGTAGGTAAAATATACTTATAATCAATTAAGTTTATCACTTCTTACCACTAAATCTTAACATCAATATCATAGTTATAATTTTTTGAAAATTAATAATTAATTAATAAATATTGTCCAATAAATTATAACTCATATTAATAAAAATCAATAATTACAATTTGGTGATAAAAAATAATAAATTTGTTGATAAAAAATAATAATTTTAAGTGGTAACAAGTGAATCCTTCTCCCATAAAATGTTAAATGGTCTTTAAACTATTGTTGAATCAGATAATGTGCAAATTCTAAACCATTCATAGTTCAACCAATTCCATTGGCGTAATTTTTAAAATATTGGTTTAGTTGATGCTTTTAGAGTACTCATTATTTGAGGGACTTACAACCTTTTATAATAATAATTCTTTTATTGTAAAATTAAAATTAAATTAACAGTAATAAAATGACATATACTAAAAGCTATTGATTTGATAATATATCTAATCATCTAACGATAAAAAAATTAATTATAAGATATTGTTAAAAAAATATTTTAAATATAATCTGTATCAAAATATTTAATATTTTCTTAAAATCTTAAATTTCCTTAAAATACTAGATAAAGGAAAATATTAAATCAAAATAAAAATTTTTATATTAAAAACATACAACTTTTACACTTACTTTGAATAGTAAATTTTTGTTAATAAAAAATAATAAATTTCCAAACAATATTCTTATAATCTTTACAAAACTTTATCGTAAAGCCGATAGTTAGAAATTTAAAATAAAAATATTTAATGTATTAAAAAAAATTATTTTAAATTATTTAAACAGTACTTATTATTACGGGAAAAGTTCATCAATGTCACTGGTTTGTTTCAGAATCACCTATGTCGTTGTGGTTTTTTCTATCACATATGTCTATGTGATTTGTAAAAAGGTACATTTTTTATCACATATACTCTTATGATTTTTTATTTTTTTACAAAGCACAGAAATATATGTAATAAAAAAATTACAATAACATAGATGATTCTGAAAGAAAGCTATAAACTTTTCCCTATTATTATTACTAGTTCAATTATATTGGTTGTAAGCAGTGCGTATTTATTATTTGGTTTATGTGGTCCGGCAGGAAAAAGAAGAAAGTATTTTATGTGAGGTAGGGTAGGGACACCTGTCCCATGGCCATAATATAATTGGCTGACCCAAAGACTTTTGAAACATAGAGTAAGTCAATGAGGGGGTGGCGTAAAGGAAAGCCAAGAATCAGAGAAACATTACAAGGTACACTGACTTATTATAATCATTATTATATACAAACAAAAGAGTAAGGAGATCAAGGCAATCACACTCACACATTTGGACATTTGGATAGTGAACTCACAAACTGACAAAAAGCCTTTTATTCTTCTTTTTCTTTTTCTTATTTCAAGGCACAAAAACTTTTGCACACCTCAAAATCCCATGATTTCAACTTCTTTCTTTCTTTCTTTTTCATAAATTACACTACTGTTCAAGAAAATTGTGGTGTTTAATAGCTGTTTTTTTTCTTTACTTTTTATTAACAAGAAAATTAATGAGTCACGGGTAACTCCTGAGTTGTCATTGAATGTTTAAAAGAAATTTAATTACAGTTAATTGCTATAAATTAGTAAAAATAATAATTTGTCATTGTGGTCGATTAATTGATGAAGAAATTTTTTTTTTTTAAAAAAAAAAATTGATTCAAAAGCAAGTGTAACATGACTTATATTTTAATCAATTTTAATTATTCATGATTTTATTTAAAAGCAAATGTAATGTGACTTACATAAGTAAAGTTAGATGAATTATTTTATTCAATTTAAACTATTAATACAGAACACAAGTTAAAAGATATTTTCATATGGTAGAAGGCTTAAATTTGATTACTAATTCCACCATCTCAGCTGAGAAAAAATATATATAGCTGCGAGAAACAAGTTAGATTTGTGTCATTTCTTTCTAAATTTAGATTTTGCAGTGAATTATGAAAATCTTATATTATTAGAATATTTGAGAACAGGTTTGTTAAAGGCAAGCCGGCAGAGCAATAATTAATGTTAATTTCAGCTTTTATATATACTCACATGTAGTCATCGTTACATTTGTTAATTAGCATTGATCTGCGCAAGGTTCGCGCCCTGCACGTTCTCCCCTAGCTAGTGTTAGGGCCATTAAGATGGTTCTAATTAAGTATGCCATTTTTGGAGAACATCCAAGGAAAATTAGAACCATAGGCCTATGACCTTCTTAATGTGTGTTTCACTTTTGGCACAAAATCCGTCCCGTTTTTAGAATGTGTTTAGGTTTATTTTTTTCCCTCTCATTACAAATACAAACCCTTACGTGAAAGAAGTGGGAGCTGAGTAATAAAAAAGAGAAGGTTCAATCTTCACGTGTTAATTTTAGGTGGAGCTTAAATATCTTTATTTACTTCAAATTAGTTTCATAACTGATTCGAAGAGTCAAAACTTTTGAAAATACTGGAGGAACGACTCACCTCAAATAAATAATTAGAATTGGATAACTCAAAAAAAAAAAAAAAAAAAACAAATGCAAGGACTTAGGTGAAAGAAATAAAGTGGCCTAGTGAACAAAACTTTTACATCATTATCACATATACAAGGTCTAAAAGCTTGAGTGGATGGATCATGGATGGACCACTTTGTGCTATATAATAACATGTAATGTCCTTTCTTGTCCAACGTTAAGCATTATAATGAATAATGATGGACCATTTCTGGCCCCACTATTGTATACACACTCATATATGCACATAGTACTAGTAGCAAGATCAGTTTGCAATGACCCCAGTCCCCAGCTTCAAAGTTGATAATGCCAGTACCTACTTGAAAATGGTGGTCACAATTCACAAACAATTGATGGTGTGTAGAGATGGTTAAGTGATTTTGGCTTGATGGTGACACTTTATAAGGCTAAAAGTATAGAAAACTAAGAGGATTTGAATATGTTGTTATATTTAATGAAATGCTGATAGCCAATATATACGCAAGTCGGTTATACAGAATCAAGGAGGATCAACTAGAATAAAGTATACTGTTCAACAAACTATACATGGAATAATAACAAACTATTCTTGCTAAAAACTAGGACTTAGTTGCTAAAGGATAAGATCAAAGGTGATCTTCTCCTAACACACCCCCTCAAGTTGGAGCATGAAGTGACGAAATGCCCAACTTGCTGCGAAGAAAACTGAATTGCTTCATGCCAAGCGGTTTGGTAAATATGTCTGCGAGTTGCTGATCTGTACGAACGTAGGTAGTAGTGATTGTATTGCTGAGAACATGATCGCGTACAAAATGACAATCAATCTCTATATGTTTGGTACGTTCGTGGAAAACTGGATTAGCAGCTATTTGCATGGCAGATTGGTTATCACAGTGCAACTGCATAGGGTGTGAATGTGGAACATCAAGCGAGTCCAGAAACGATTTGATCCATAACAACTCAGCTGTAGCTGCTGCCATTGAACGATACTCAGCTTCAGCGGAGGAGCGAGACACTGTGGGTTGCTTCTTTGTTTTCCAAGAGATAGGAGAAGTACCCAACATGATAAAATAACCAGTAACTGATCGACGGGTGAGTGGACAACTAGCCCAATCCGAATCAGAATATCCACGAAGAAGGAGATCATTGTCGGATCGAAGGAGTAAACCTTGGCCAGGATCAGTTTTGATGTACCTTAAAACGCGGATGACAGCAACATATTGAGCAATAGTAGGATTTTGCATGAACTGGGAAAGAACATGGACGGAGTAACTTAACTCAGGTCTAGTAATTGTCAAGTAAACCAAACGTCCTATGAGTCTTCTGTAACGTGCGGGATCCGAGAATGGAGGACTTTCTGTAACTGCAAGCTTATGATTTGTTTCGAGAGGGAAGGCACATGGTTTGCACGCAAGGAGACCAGCGTCTTCCAATATGTCGAGAGCGTACTTTCGTTGGCTCAGAAAAAGACCTGATGGACCGTGAGCTATTTCGATGCCAAGAAAATATTTAAGAATCCCGAAATCCTTGATGTGAAAGCATGACTGGAGAAAGACCTTGACATCGGTGCATAAGGCATCATTGTCGCCCGTTAGAATAATGTCATCAACGTAGATGAGAAGAGCAACAAAGTGGCCATCTTTGTGTAAGGTGAATAAGGTGTAATCTGCCTTGGATTGGATGAAGCCATATGATTCAATGGAAGACCGCAACTTAGCAAACCAATTGCGAGGGGACTGCCGAAAACCGTAGAGAGATTTACGTAAGCGACATACTTGATGTGGTTTGTGATGATTGAAACCTTGTGGAACGCGCATGTAAACTTCTTCGGTAAGGTCTCCGTGTAGAAAGGCATTCGTAACATCCAACTGGTATAGGTGCCATGATTTGGCAGCAGCTACCGCAAGAAGTGTTCGGACACTCACCATTTTGGCTACAGGAGCATATGTATCGAAGTATTCTTCTCCAGCTATTTGATTGTTACCGGCAATGACCAACCGTGCTTTGAATCTCTCCACTGTACCATTTGAGTTGTACTTAATGCGGTATACCCACTTGCATGGAATGGCAC